AGCTACTGCTTTGTCTTGAAGCTCTGCCTCGTATAATACTTGCTCGTTGTACACGGATATTACCACAACTGGCAGCATATTGAAACCTGCGAAGAACTACGGATATTGCAGCAGTGGCAGAAATCGCGTGAGAACTTTTTGCCACGCCTATAAATTCAGCCAGAACCCAGTGTTCAGAACTAGCGATAAGCGATAACAACAGTGCGGCTAAATACGTTTACATAAAATGCACTGCGTGGCGGGTGTCAGCAACAAGGGCCAGCTTTCCGTTATTTCTACGCTACTAATAAATATGCGTCACAAATTATATGCTGTCATAAATATAACAGACAATATTCTATAACAATAACGACATCATCTCATGTGTATTTAGGCAAAGTGTTGTTTAGAGAAATTCATTTATTAGTAATTAACGACATTCGCGTCATGTCTATATTTTGTAGGCGCTAAGTTTGTATATGAGTTTTTTTTTTTTTTTTGTTCTAGTGACAGCTTTTCTATTTAGCGCGTCAGACGAACATTCTATCCTGGCATAGTAAAGCGAACTGTGGATCTGCCAGATTTGAAATTGTTCTGCGTTTTCGAAATACGTCGAAGTGCTGTCACTAGCTAAGAACGCGGGCATTTTGAGCGCATTCTTGATTACTTAACGACTGTATTCATCTGCTAACATTACATTGCTATAAACGTCTAAATAGAAAAGTAAATTATTGTGGCGGCCATTAGAAGAAATGCTCGCATTGGAAATGTGTGCGCCGGCACGAAAGACTTAGCAACCAACGTTTACTCGATTCGAGAAAAGTGTCTGTTTTAGGTTGTTTCAACACAACATTCCTATACGATTATACGGATTTCAGTATACTTTGCAAAAGATTGCACAAAATTGCCCTGTATCACTTTGCGTTGACTCGCAAAGCTGCCTCTGTGAAAGTTACCACTTGTAAGTTGTTCTCAATCAATTTCTCTCACAATTTGCACTGTGGACGTGGATTAGCCGTGCAGTTGTATTTATTACCATTATGAAACAGCTGGTTTTCGATGAGCCCGATTTTTGAGGCGAATGGTATTTGTAGAAGCTTTTTTTCCTTTGCTTGAATCAGTTAAAGTCGTATCCATGTCTTAGATATGTAGAATTATTCATTCATTCATTCATTGAAATCTGAAACGTTTTCTGCCTGATCTCAACCGAGCGTGACTCTTTCCTTGATCCGGGATTCACTATCGTCTGTTTAGGTTTTGCCGGTCCTCGTTTACAGGTCACATCTAGCGATCTTTTGATTCTCCGAACAATATTGGGCTTCAACTTTTCAACAGGCATTTTTACACTAGAAAAGACAAAAAAAAAAGCATTACAAAAATCTCCAGTGAACCGATATAGCAGTGTAACTCGAACGAAGTTGCAGGCTTAGTCTAATGTAAAATTTAATGAAATACAAGTCTAAAACGAGCCAAATTATTTGTCTGTTTTTATTCTCATTTTTCTCCCATAAATAGCCTGGAAAATGACGGTATCGGTTGAACACAAAGGATATGATATAATTAATAACGGATAAGAAACAATATGCAAGGTATATTATGCTCTTATTGTTTCGGCGTAAGATATTGCTTTGAGGTACATGCATATGTACACTGCATACAACCGTGTCAATGTGCGTGATTTAGCTAGCGGACGATTTCCTATGACAAATATAAGAAGTAACAAGTTTTCGCAGTTGTATATTTACAAGAATAATGTGGCATTGATAGGTAGAAAAGAAACATTAACGACCCTTAGTTCACTGAAGAGCTCGGACGGTAAAGCGATACGAGCTTAAGTGGACGTCTATCTTTTTCTTCGTTGTAAATTGAGCAACATACTATAAGGAGCCTGTTGCCAGTAGTCTCCAATACGGCCTACGAATCGGCACGAAATGCTCAACTGTAATTACCACCAGCTTATCGGAGCAGAAGAACAACAACCGATTCTTCGGTAAAATAAATAGTTGCTTAGAATACAAGCATCGTCTAAAGGCGTTGGCCTCCCATTTACAAAATCCTCCTAGCACATATCCCCACGATGATGAAAGTCGACGGCATGCGATTTTGCGTGTGCCAGAAGAGCGCTTAGCGCCGTTTATAAGGTAAAGCATTCCAAGTAATACTCAGTCCTAAACAAACAGGCGTTATCAATTTGTTTACCTGTCTGGGTCAATTGCAAACTGAAGGAAAACGCGGACCTCGAAACCGCTGGTCCGTTGTTACTCGACGCGACTATAGTCGATGACCATTAAGCTTTGCATTCTAAACGAAGGCATATTTTAGCAATATAACTACCATTGATTAGACTAATCTGACTCACTTTTAGCTCGACTGCGTATAAAAGTCACACACTTTTTACTTTTTAGAAAAACGCAGAGCGTTCAAATAAGGACATGCACTTATATTGGCCGAAATATTATCCTCGTTGCGTATACCCATATCCAAGTTTTCAGGTGGCCCCGCTCATTTCCTATAAGCGACTAACTCTCGAGTCTTCAGGTTTTATCAGGTCATCGACATACTTCGTTACTGTTTGCTCTAGCACGACGTCTTCAAACCGAGCGTATTCACACTGGCCCCCGTCATCAACTACGTGATCTAAAACGTATACTCATATACTATTAAGCCGCCGCTGTCAAATGGTTTCTTTGATTTTTTCAGATAGCTTTCAGTAGCGGGCCGATGCTATTGAATTCAATCACCTGGAGGCATTTCGAGCGTACTTATAATTAGCCACGTAACAACTAAAAAGCTGAACTGTGTGACACACACGTTACCGATAACTACGAGCAGAAAGGTTTCTCTCTCAAAAGTCAACGATAGTAAAAATGCCATTGATACATAGGCGTTGGGTACACAGAGGCTGGCACAAAATAACGCATTCACAATCATTCTCGTTCAAAAGAACAGACCATAGCGTTGTCCTACAAAGCTGAAATTTCTCCAAAGAAAAGCGTCACCGGTAGCAGCTATGTTGACACGCACGTCCTGAGAGAAGGGCGCTGCATGCTAACAAGTTTATTGCCTTCTGCTAGGGACACCTACAGATTATACACAACATTGCCGTATGCGTTTGTATGCTCTTACATATATATATATATAACACCGGTGCGCAGAACTGTCAAGCGCAAACGAACATTTTTCTACTTTTTACTCATTCGATTTCTGTTTCCAATTTTCTTCATTCAAGTACTTCGACTGACAGCTAACGATCTTGTCAAGACGCACACTTCCCAACAGCGAAGGAGTAACCGTCGCGGCACCAACATCAAGCCTTCTTTTTACCTAACTGCTGCTTCACGGATCACAAAAGGTGCCGTCGCCTTACTTCAGACCTGTCAAGATTCTCTCCATTGCTGCATTCACATATCACATCTCACTAAAATCTTTGCCTATTTTGTTCCCAATTCTGCATATGCTTCCGCTTGCTCGATAAAATTTTAACGAGAACTCAGGCTTATTCGTCGAAACAGGGTCGACACTAGTAGGACATGCACGTTGCAGCTGCTTATGACGTCATTCAACGGCCGAACAGCAACTGGTGGACTGTCGACGTTTTGCCAAAACACACGCACACACAAAGCGAGAAATATCTCCAACGTTGTTCCGGAGGCTTTGATTCTCCCAAAGCCAGGCCATGGGCCTGGGCCGTAAGTTGCGTTCGGAGGTTTTCTTTTGCTTGCTGTTGACTCGAGTTCTTTCCTCGTCGCTTGTCAAGAAAGAAGGACGGAACAGCAGGCTTCTTTTCCGGCGACTGACAGATCCCCTCCTGTGGTAAATCCGATGTGCTGCTGCCGCCTGCGTAGGCTGCATTTCTGCGTGCGTCGTTTCCTCTCTTCCGTAGCCATCGTCGCTTTATAGTCCTATCATGCTCGTAGTAGCCCATCTACCAAGAAGCGCCGGTGCACTGCGGAGCAACAGCTGCTCGTAGAGACAGCGTGCTTCTTCGCGTACTCAACAAGAAGTGACACAAAAGAAAGAAACAGATAGGTCATAAGACAAAGTCGAATACACTACACCACATGGAAAAGACACCTCCGAAGCTGGTGGTGGCGTCTCGGTCGCAGACATCAAGTATCAAAGGGAACTTGAACATTTCACATCGTCACCCTGATTTCCACACAACTTTATCCCTACGAGCCGACGCGTACCAATATAAATTGAATGCTTTTTCTGTGCGAAGTAGCAGCTAAACTGAAATCAGAAGCAAAAAACCTGCTTAAGATGGTTCTTTTATCCCTATTTTACCTTATTGCTGTCGAGGCAAAGCAAATTATTGCGCCGGAAATAATATAAACACATACCTCCTTTCAAATTTAATGACGCACGCAAGTTATAGTAACGTATATATAGTAACGTAGAATATGTGTACAGTATAATAAAGGAAGATTCAGAATTCATAGGATGAATCGATGTTTTGTAGCCTCAGTAGAGAGTCGAGTTATTTTTTGTACACGATGTTACATCTGATAGAATTTTCCAATTGCTTCACCAAAAAATCTCCTTTTACTAATGAGTTGAAAAGAACGCGTGGGGGGTCAACACGTTTTATGAGATGGCATATGGTCAATACATAACATTTTAACACCATAAGACGCCATTGGTCAACTGATAATACCGGAGGAGCGTCCGACAGAATTTCAGCGTTGTTCACGCATGTGGTTTGGCGCGCTGATTCAAAGTGACGACCCTCTAAAAAAATAGTGAAATTGTTCCATTTTAATATTTCTCTTTTGAGACGATTGATTTGCTCACAAGTGCCCAATCTGTTCATGAATAATTTCAACGTTTGCTCAATGCAAACAAACAATTTTCAGCTTATTTGTTATACGGTACAGAGCATTCACAAGTAGTAGCTTCGCTTACAAGCGACCTATGATGTAACATTAATCTAGTTCCCTGTGATTCAGAGGAGCAACACAGCTCCCAAGTAACGTATAGCACTCGGACCTGTTCTATAATGTGTTGTTTCGTTTACTTACCTTGAGACAATGTTGCGCATAGAGCTATTATTAATATTCTGTGAAGTATATTGTAGGGTGCTGACAGCCGATAAATAAAAAATAGTGTCCAAAAACGGGCTGTCATGACGTCGGCCGTATGATCGCTTGCTGCCCGGCGCGACATGGCCGCTGGCGGCCCTGTTGCCCTGCAGCAGCTGCGACAATCTTTACTATCAATTGTGTCCGTTGGTGCCGTTCTTGCTTGCAGCAGCCGCAGCTGTTTTGACGGCGACGTCGAGAACGCTTAGTCACCACAGTGTAACAAGTCATATCCGTTGGTCACTACATCACCACAGTATCCATCACACACAACAGCACTGCCCACTATCACCATGTCAGAGACGAGCACACCGTATACGCAGAAAAAAAAAACGGATAACACAGTCAGTAAACTTTACATATAGTAGCTGCAGCAGATATATTTTACTACTGCAGGGAGGTTGGGGGGTGAATAACACCTACTATATCATGCAGCTGCTTCGCGTTGCTCTCGCTTTTCCAATACACGACGACGCAGAATCACTAAATCTGTTCCTTATTTCACATGTGATCCACACCATAAGAACTAAACAACAAACCCCAATAGGCTCAAGATCCTTGAAGAATTATCGTACCGTTGTTATTTTATAACAGTGATTACTTCTGCACACTCGACATTCTCACTGGCTTCTAGCTTTCTGGGAAGAAAGCACTTTTTGCTGAAACATTGCATGACACGCGAAAAGCACACACCGTTTCCTTTACGATAGTAGAAATTTCAAGGGGGATCACGTGCTTGCCAGCACTACGTTGAGCGACCCAAGGCCGCACCCGACGTGACCTTTCCGTCGGATCTTTGTGTCGAATCTGACTTGTCGACCCATCGAGCTCACTAAGCCCTGGCGAACTCCCTTTCATGACGAAGGGTAAGGACCTTTGCAATCGACCCTTTCCCAATATACCCGAACGTGAAGTTCGACGACACGCGCGCCTAAAAAGGGACACTCATAGAAGGCCCAGTGGCGCCCCCTGGCAGTGCGCTGTTGAATCGTCGATTTTCCTGAGCTTTTTTTGCTTCGAGTGTAAGGAAGAAAGGTTACTGTGGGCACAGGGGGTTGAAGATAATTCTCCCTGTTTCCTGTTCTTGTCGAAGTAGGCGGAGAAGCGTCGTTACTCGGCGGCACAAGAAAAGGGCACTTGTTAGACGGAGGAGCTGGAGGCCAGTGCACTCAAAGTGCTTTACCTGAACAATCACTGAAGATGCTGGGAAAATACAAAGCAATTAGACACCTCTTGGTTTGCTCGTTGTGTGGTGAGTCACAATAACTTAGTGAAGTACAGTAGAACCTTAGTATGAACATATATTAAATAGCAAGCGAATTGTATCGTGTTTAAAGATGGTTTATCGTATCGTATAATGACGCGAATATTCTATTCAAGACACAGTGGGCGCTACATGATGAAATCTGATGTGCAACACCCGGTCTTGGATATCTGGACTATTAAACGCGTATTTATTTCTTTCTAAGAATGTTGACTGGAAAGTATTGCACACCCATAGCAGCGTGCAAATCCGGGATCGACGGCCCCTGGCCGCCTAAAGATCGATTTCCCTTTAATTCCACTCAGCACTCACAAATAAAATGCTGAATTTCACGCGTTCAATCACTAATGGAATCAAGTACTCCTCGCTCAGATTTCCTGCTTAATCCCCTTGATGAATAATAACCATATTAGAAACATGTGGCGTGGCATAAGTTCGGAAGTGGTTATAAATACACTTTGTCTCGTATTGGAGGGTACCAGCCATTTGAAGAAGCAATAATTAATGGCACTATCGAACGTACCGTTTGAAGTACCTCTTTGTAAGGCTAGTACATGTTTAATTGTAAGAAAGAGAGGACAAACAGATGGAATAAAGAAAATGTAAAAAAAACTAGTAAGCATCCTGCAATGAAAACAAGTTCTGAACGGTGAAAAGTGAAGAAAGCCTATAATATGTGTAAATTAAGAACAGGATCGTTACAAATGGACAAATGTGCTTTATTCCTTATATTACTGTATACTGTACATAGATATTATAAATAGAAATTTTGACAGTAAATACACGAAACTTAAGTTAGTAGCTTTAAAAAATGACCGTGGGTAATTGTAAAACGTTCGTCTCGGTTACAAGACCTGAGCACTTGGCGAATCATGGTTGTATGATGACCTATCAGACGGCACAAATGGAACACAACTTTCTCGGGTGTCGTTCAGCGAGCATATGAGAGACTACCAGGAGAGAATTCAAGACAGAGCTGTCTAAGCGTTTCTGACCGAAGGAGGCCGGATCGCCTAGAAACTTCTTTTACCATTATTAGAAAGTGGGAGAATTGTACTACCAATACGTGAGAGCCAACCGGCCACTATTAATTTAGCGGATGGATTGAGTTTCAATTCAATGTACTTCTGACTAAAGTCCAAGAGACTGAGGAATCAGTTGCTTTACTAAATGTACTTCTGGCAGCTTAAGTTAATCCTTACGCGGAGTTGGTTCGCTTACTTCAAGATGATACACCGTATAACTCTGACACCGCTGTTCGAAAACGCAGTCAACTTCTTGTTACCGACATACTGATCTAAGGCATGTCGACACTAGCTACTTGCAGGTAAGAGCTGCTATTATTAAGTTTTGGTATCTTCAGCTGTGTTAACACTGGCAGACCTGAATGCGATGCTGAAGCACGTCACTAGGATTCGCCAACCTGTTTGTCCGTCAGAAACAATGTTAGGTCTAGGGGGATTGACCTTGACACGTCATCTAATCAGTCCCCGGTGCAAGCTCGCGGTAATCGCATTATGGAAAAGATAGAAAGTTAATGGGTTTACTTTAAAAAAACAATACCAAAATGGTATTACGGGAGTTGCTACCAATACTTTAACAATCAGCCAAGGACCTTTTCTATCTGTCACTAGAGCCATTCAAGAGTAGAGTAAATTGTTATTTTCTAAATAGCATAATATTTCTGGAAAAGAATTACGACTGGACAACCTACCTTCAAGCTAAGAAGCACATAAATAAGGGGAACTGCCACAGAAGCTCATTAACGTACAACTAATTAGAATCGTAGCATGCAAGCATGGTAGTGTAGTGTTCAAGGTACGAGGATTTTGGTGGTTTTCGAAGGCAATATTGACGATTCAGGTTCCTCAGGGAATCCCTTTGGCGACCATTCGGCATATTCTGTCAGTCCAGGGAGGTCAACCCCGGGGTGATACGCTACCGTAACTGGATGGAACATACAACGTGAGAAAACATTGGCCGCGGAGTAGGCCTACTTAATATAATATACGTATGAAGGAAGAGTCTCGCCTTGTCAGTTAAGAGTTTCAACAACCTTGTCATACCAAAACATGAATATTTAGTGTATAATTACATCAGGTAACTTGGACATAGTATGTTCTACCACGTGTAGTCAAATAGTGGCAGTAAAATATTAATAGTGTGCTATATTGTATCTGATCTTACGATCCACTGAAAGTGCATTGTATTGTCTGCGTCCCACACATAAGCTAACTACCATATTTCCGATGAACTACCTTCGCAGACTCGTTCAAAAAGTTCTATGATGTGCCAGCTGTTCTGATGTCCTGAGACATACACACGTAATAGAACCAGTGTACAAGAAAGCTGAATATTTGTCGCCGCAGATGAATACCACCTCAATAGATGATTCCAATTTTACGTTTGACGCTGCAGTGAAGCACTGCTTCAAACAACTGGCTCTCATTAGCACAAAATGAAGTGTGTACATTCGGTATTTTGCTAAAGTTCGCCTATGTTATTTGCTTGGAACGTTTTATCATAATTTGCCTGATGTGTACCTTTTTCTACCGAATATGACCTTACGCTTTCTGTTAAATTGTAAAGTAATTACTGCATTATTTCACTCGGCTTTACCAAAATAGCTATTCTCAGCACAAAACGCATTGTGTTTTTCAGTAGGCCAATACGTTATCACTGCACTATCACGAGGACTGCTGTTACTACTTAGAGCCTATATGCAGGCCTTAAGTGGGCTTTAAGTCAGGCCGCTTGGCTTTCTCGGCGCCATATGACAAGGACAATAGCAAACAGTATTCAACTTAATATGTATCACACACCTACCGACATTTATCCCTGTGTTATATTCGAATCAATATCTTCATTATCTGCAATCGATAAATCGAAATAAATGTCCGGAAAGGGAATATATTAAACCTGGAAAAGGCTAAATAATGTCTCAGGTACGAGCGTGGAAGTTCTCTAATAAATTAAAATTTACTCAATTTCAAAAATGTATTTATAGACGATGCCTTCCTATTTGCTTAGAGTCGAAATCGTAAAAGTTAACTTGCTTCACTCAGTGAGATGGATTTCAAGTTTACGTCTGGTCGGATATGTTTGTTTAACAACACGGAAGCTTAAAATTCGCCATTTAGAGCAAACAGTACACTCTGAGCATACTAAAAGGTAGCGCCAAAAATAAATTCAAAATGGAGAAACTACCATCTTTGTAGGATGGTTCCACTCGCTGCTTTGTAGAAATAGAAAAAGGTATTTTTCAGGTCAATTTATAGCCTCAATTTCAAACATTTAAAGATATATAAAATGTTACGTTCATATTCACGTCAGTAATTTCGTATTGTACTGTGACACCTCGTACGTAAAATGAACACAGAGCTTATGAGCTCGTCTGGAACTGATAACTTGTGGAGTAAAACTGCAAGTGCCCTCAACTCACAAGTTTACCGCCCCTTGACGCAGTTTAACGTGGCGCCATATGCTCGCCCCCATATGTTAATCCCTTAAGATGCAAAGCACTGGGTTTCTACCATATTCCAGACGCTTAACTCCCGGCTCGGCACGTTTGCATTCTTATATCCATGTGTTCGACTGAATGATATAGACATCTCTGATTTGATCTTTTTTAGCTAGACGCACAGCATCTTTACGCAGTTGCGTAAATATTCCCATATTCGTATGCACGGCTGGTTAACTCTACTGTCGTCGCCCTTCAAGATCGCGTGGCCCTTCTTAATCTGTCCATATCTTTTTCATATCCCTACCTTTCTCTCGCTCGTTCTACCTCGCCTCACATTTATTTCCATCGAAAATCGGCTACGATCGAACGAAGCCAACAGATCCGAAATCAGAAATCGTGCGCGTGCCTTTGCTAAGCCTCCTTCTTGGCACCTCCTCACGATTCACACCCGATTCGTCCTCTCGCTGCGTCACTTTCTTTTGGGCTCTTCTCACATCTCTTGATACACACACAGAGAACCCGACCAGTCGCCTTCGTTTGTGTATGTTTGAATATAGTGCGCATAGCAAGTAGATATATTCCGAGCGATATGGTACATCTAGTCGCCACTCCCCAGACAGTTTTCAACTGCCAAAGATATAGCGTGTCTTATATAAGATGTCTATATGAAAAGAGAACGCCAAAGTTGAGTGCATAGTTTGAAGAAGCCTAGGGGGTTGGACGAGGCTATACGTCACTGCAACTTTCGCCTCCGATGCCGTCAATAACATTCCTATCTGCTGCGTGAAGCAGCGTTGGGCTCCCAAAACTGAGACTAGATATTCGACGAGACACATAGGTCACGTTCGAAAGGAGGGGTGAGAGGAGCGTACTAGAAGAAGGAAAGTGTATGATAGACGAAGAAAAAAGAAAGCACTAGTGAGGATCGACGTGCAAATAAGTTTAGGCATGCTTTATTCTGTCGGTTTGGCCCCAGAGTTGACGTCACCCGAATATCCGGCCGCGCTCCTTCGAGAAGGGGAGCACTTCTGGGACTAGTAAAGGAAAAAAAATCCGTCGACTAAAGAATCGCACGCTTTTGAAGCTTGTACAGGGATTGTGGCGATTCCAGCGTGCTCCGGCAACAGCAGCGCCACCAGTTTTCGTGACAAACACAGCACGTAAATCGCGGGTGGACTCTTGGCCGTCCACTTCTCAATCCTCCAAAGCAAACGGAACGGTTTATGCAAAAGGCAACAAGGAAGATGGAGAAGCAGGCAATAAAAGACACTGAGATGAGCAAAGCGCTCGTGACGGCGGCAACTCATGAGCCAATGATGGAACACAGTAGCAGCAAGCATAAACAGGGCCCAGAATCGAGACGAAGACCTCTTAAGGAAAAAGGGGGAAAAAGAAAAAGTTTGGAAAAGAACGTTCTGCTTCTCCAAAGTACGGAATATCCTCATTTCTCGAACGAATTCAAAAAATGAAGATGAGATTGAAGAGATAAAACTTATTTTTGGGTTTTTGCTCAGGCAAGAAAACTAGACCAAACAGAGGCATAACAGCAACAGAGAGTTTCAGAAGCAATCGGCTACCGTTCGAACGAGTAGCTGACGAATCCGAGACTAAGCGGGGCGTCGAGACAGAGTCCTTAAAAAAAAGTGAGGTGGTCGGAGTCAGAGGGACCCACAAAGAGAATCTGCCCATCCCAGATTCCTGCTCCGACGTCGGCATAAGTAGTTTGCATAGCTATGTAGTATAAAGAAAAAGAGTCTACAGAATCTGTCTGAGAGCACGTCATTGCGATGAAATATAGTGACGCGATGGCAGACCCTTTTGGAATAGGAAACATTACATACAAGTTGAAAATTCAATATGTCGTTGCCGTTGTTGAATTACGAACGCGCATTCTCCTCTCCCGGCGGCTTTAGACGTCTTGGAAACTTGGCAGATGCGTGAGTTTTAAGACGATATATTGCACAACGCGATTGAAGCTCTCTCTCTCTCTCTCTCTCTTTCTTTCTGAACTTACTTTGCGGATCGCGGTCTGGTGAATGATGCAGTTCCAAAGGAGAACTGTATCTCACAGGGTAAAAATTGCAACAGATACGTTTGAAAGCCTTAATAGTATTAAAAAAATGCACGTGTACGTAAAAGACACGTTCATCTCAATCACGTATGCTTCACCACCCTTATTAATCCAAGCCTAATATCTATTAGTCAAATGTTCGGTACACAGACAAGCCGCAACATTAAAATAGTATTTTTTTTTTGAGAAAAGATAGGGAAAAATATGTTTGCTAACCAGATATTGGATGCTGGGTTTCACTGATTTAATGACCTGTAGGTTTTAATTATTTAATACTGGTTTAAATATAGAGGTCAATGTTTTACCCGTGAGCCCGGACATACGCTCCAGAACTCCGTAAAGTTCTTATTTATGTACTATCTGTATATGATTTAATCATTGTTCAGAGCTTTTATGGGTTAAACCTTCAAAAAGCTATAAAGGTTTACAATCGTTACACATGGTCTCGTCCTCAAAAGGGAACGAATGCCGCATGATATTCTTGCGGATGCAAACGCTGTAAATGCAGTTTCTATGTGTTCGGTTAGTACTCCACTGCTGAGAGGCTACACAAACGACAGTTGGGTCTATTGAGCATACCGATTTCAGTGGGTACTAGTAACACTAACATTGATGCTGTCATCACAAACCCTGAATTCTTTTTCCCCCGTTTCAGTTGAATAGAAAAAGAGATTTTACTGCTTGAACTCATATATAGTTCATAGTCAACTTCTAAAATACAACGCTCGTTGCCTGACTGATACGTAGTTGCCACGTGACTGTTGGAAAAGTATATATGTTTAAAAATAAGTGT